GTGCATGCGCTTAAGCGAGTCTCCCTTCCCAGCCATCTCCCAGCTTCTCGGTCTTCCTCTTCAGAAGCAGCCATGGGTGCCAATCTCCAAAGATATTTCATTCATTTATAAGTATATGAATACACATTATTTTCCCTCTTACAAATGGTAGCACGTGTCTCTACATCTTGCTTTTTCTCCCATAGCAAGATGTCTAGCAGGTACTTCTGTATCTGTCCACATGAGCTTGAGCCAGTGTTTTTGGTGGCTGCCCTTTATTCATTTAAATTTATTTTATTTTATTTTTATTTTTGGCCGCACTGGGTCTTCGTTGCTATGTGCGGGCTTTCTCTAGTTGCGGTGACTGGGGGCTACTCTTCGTTGTGGTGCGTGGGCTTCTCATTGTGGTGGCTTCTATTGTTGCAGAGCACGGGCTCTAGGCTCACGGGCTTCAGTAGTTGTGGCATGCGGGCTCAGTAGTTGCAACTCGCGGGCTCTAGAGCTGAGGCTCAGTAGTTGTGGCGTATGGGCTTAGTTGCTCGGCGGCATGTGAGATCTTCCTGGACCAGGGCTCGAACCCGTGTCCCCTACACTGGCAGGCAGATTCTTGACCACTGTGCCACCAGGGAAGCCCCGGTGGCTGCCCTATAGACAGGACAATAGTTCTGTTTGCCCAGCTGCCACCGTACCTTATAGTCTCATGCCTGTCTTGCTTCACTCATTCATGATTCTTGCCTGGCCCCACTGGCATCTGAGTGTGCAGACTCCCGGCACAGGTGAGGGATGGAGCATCCCTCCTAGCCACCCAGCACTCGCCCCTTCTCTGTCTTGGACGCATGCAGTTCCTGGACTTCCCAGCAGAGGGAGACACCACCTTACCCCCAAGACCACCAGAAGGATCTTCAAAGGGACATTGCAATCTTCAAATGTCTGGGCAAGAGATGTTATCTGACCGGACACAAAGACCCCCTTAGCTGGACTGGGATCCGCCTCCACCATGCCTCCCCTTCTCTATCTCCCTCTGAACCTCCTGCTTCGACTGAGCCCCATCCTGACTGAGCCCCACTCTTTGCAGGGACTGGCCCCTCCTTGGTGGGAGTTGTAGGGAGACCCTGTCCTAGTCTAGGGCCTGGGATTGAGAAATTGCCCAAGGGGCCCACATAAAGAAAGCGTGTAGCTGGGCGGGCGTTCCTTGCCCCACCCTTCCCCCTCCCTGCTGAGAAGTGGGGAGGGGTCCTTTCTCCCTGCCCCCAACAGAGCCTTGACCTCAAAACCCCCTCTCCGTGTCCTGCACTCCACACTCCCCATGGTACCCTCTCCCTGGCCTGGCTCCTGCACCCTCCTCCCCACCCCCGCAATGGTGTTGGGGGTCGCCTGGAGTCCAGCTGGTGGCCAGTGCAGAGCCACCCTAGGAAGGCCCTGCCCCTCCCCGTGACCCCAATCCTCCGCCAGCCACTCAAAGGCGCCTTGTTCTCCATCCAGCCCCCAGACAAAAGTCCCTCTGTCTAAAAAGGCGGAATTGGGGGGAGGGGGCACCCCAACGGGGAACAAGTGGGGACCTGCACAGACCCCAGCTGGAAGGAATGCCATGAGGAGGAGAGACAAGAGAGGGAGGCGGGAGGGGAAGGGAGCCTTGCACAGTGCAATGGCCTTATCCGGGGTGAGAGGCAGCCCCCGCCCCAACACCCACTGTGGAGACACTGGGAAGAACCCAGGCTGGGAAGGTCTGCCTGGTGCTGGGAACCAGGTCCCAGTCTCCCTAGGCCATGATGGGCACGATGGGGGAGAGGTCATGGTCTATGGCCCAACATCTCACCGCCCCCTTACACACCCCCTCCCCCCACCCCGTGCATCCCGTCCCCACCTCATGACCTTGGTCCTATCAGCATCTTCTGCTGACCCTCAAACTGTGTCAACGGCAACAAGTAGCCCGGAGGAGGACTTTAGATCTCCCGCAATGGCCACCCATCCCCCCTCCAAGGACAACACACAATCTAAGTAAAAGAGATTAGGTTATTACAAACAAAGCACGGCCTTCCCCCCACCGCCCCGCCAGGCAGAGGCTCTGCCGTTAAAGACCTGAGCCCCTCCTCCTTCCAGGTCCTTTTCTGAGGGGCAGGTGGCTGGAGAAAGCCACCTCCCTGGATATGAGGGGCAGAGTTCCAGCCCTCATTGTATTCTCCTTCTGCCTCGCCTAAGGCTGCTGTGACCCTAGAGACCCCAGGGAGCTCCCTGCCACTAGTGGTTGGGGGTTGGAACTGTCTCTTTAAGAGCAGGTGTGAGGTGAGAGAGCCCCTGAGCTTTAGGGAGTCAGACTAGTTCTCTACCTGCCCAGGTTTGCTTAGGGCGTGGAGGCTGCGGATAAAGGCAGGACTCAGGCTAAGCAGCCCCGCTCTCTCCCGGAACCTGAACCTCCGCGCAGCCTGTGGAGCACGCAGGTGAGGGGCTGGGGACCCATCCCTCCAACCCCTTCTTGGCTCTGCCCCTCCCTCCACTGCTCTCTGCTAAAGACCCCTAGAACCTTCCCCCTTCAAGGTCCTTTGCTGGGGGAGCAGATTAGAGAAAGCGCCCCTCCCCATCATTCACCGCACAGGAGGCCTGGTGAGCCAACTGGGGCGAGGGTAAGGCCCACAGATAGGACTGGGGTGTCTGTTAGACTGGTCGGTCTGGGTAGATCGGGGGTTCTGAGTAGAACAGAAGTATCTGGATCGGGAGGATCAGACTGGATGGATGGGTGGATGACTAGGTGGGCTCAGGGTGTCCGCATATTGGGAATATGTGGGTCCTGGAGACCTCTAGGGGAAGGGGCTGGCGGCTTCCTGGGGAAGCTGTAAAATGGGGAGGTGGTGCGGAGACTTCAGGGACACGAGGGAGTCATTTTGCTCAGGCCTGAAGGCCTGGCCACCATCATGGAGAAACAGAGCGATAGTAGGGGGTAGACGGCGGAAAGTCCTCACACCAGCACTGGGATCTCTGGGGCAGGAAAGAGCAGAGAAGGGTGGGCGCAGCCTACGTCTGCAGGTTGCCTTTCTCTCCAAGGCTTCACACCGACTGCAGTCAGTTCTGGAGTTGCCCTGGGGCCTCTTCCAATAATAGCCTGAACAGGGCAGGAGAGGGCAGATGCCCGGATGCCAGCTCCCAGCAGCCCACACCATGGGACAGTAGGGTGGAAATGTCGTGCAGGGGCTGGGGTACATCTGAGACCACCCATCAGTGCCCCTTGTGCTGGGGATGCTGGGAGATGCCTGGGGAGGGGGTGTATGGGGGTGAATGGAGCCCTCACCGGCCAGGGAGGCTTGGAGGCTCCCATGGAAAGAGGCTTAGGTGCTGAGACTCTGAGTCCCGGGTGACAGTATAGAGCGTTAAGCTGAATTCGCAGGGGTGACAGGGTTGCGACAGCAACGTGAGCTAATCATAGTGCCAACTTCATCAAGCTGCGAAGATTACATGTACGAACAAGCGCAAAGAGCTGAGAACAGTGTCTGGTGTGGGGTAAACATTCAATCAGCACCTGCTCTTATTACTAGTATTAGTGTGATCGTGGGGTGACAAAGCCTCACGTGTTCGCCTTAGACTATAGGTGGTCCTCCTACAGAACTGTGCCAGGAACCACTAGGCTGTCCTGCTCACATACACATTCCAACTCTCCCCGCACCACCCCAAATTTGGGGGGGGGGCGGTCTTAAACGCCTTAGTAATGTTCCCCAAAGCTACAGGCCCTTTTCCTGCCTGAATGCTCAAAGAAATGAATGCTCAAATTAAAACCGTGAGTCTGGAATATGGGATGAACTGGGAAGCTAAGAAGGTTCCCAGGAAAGAAATTCAGGGAGGGGGTTACATAGAGGCCAGAGAGAGAGAGAGAGACGGGAAGTACTCTCCAGCTGTGGATAGGAGACAGAGCAGGCAATGTCAATGGGCTTTTTACCAGGCTTAGGGAGGGTATGTGTTTTGCCGTCTGTGAAATGGGGCGTATAACCAATGGCCTCCGGGATTCTTGGGGGATTACATGAGTGAAAACCCAGCAAGGTCATTTGGCGGTGCCCAGCACAGGGTGGATCTAAGTGTTAGCTCTTGCTATCAAGACTGGGACAATGTATGCTGTGGCAGTGGGGCAGGGGCAGGGGAGGGGACAGGGGGACGCACAGGGGGACTGATACTGGACCAGGAAGGGGGTGGCGGAGTGTTCTTCATGCTGCGCAGGCCTACCTGGGGAAAGAGGAAGTGTTTGCTGCCAGAGGAGCTTGGTAGGGGTAGAGGCAGGACCAAGGACTGGGGTGGGATGGGCAGGGGTGGGGCAGAAGCAGGACGGTGGGGTGCGAGGAGGGTGGGGCAGAAGATGAGGCTGGGGCTGCCCTCTCCCTCCCCCTCCCCCTCCCCACATCCTTTCTGAGTTCTCTCCTCCCCATATCCTGCCCAGAGCAACAAGAGGAGCCAGCTCAGTCCCCAGCCCTGGCCCAGCCCAAGTTCTGCAAAGTCTGGGCAGGGCGGGCAGGCTCCGAGCTGTCTACGGGAGACACTCCCAGGAACCAGGCCTCCTGCCACCTGGCTCCCAACACCCCATTTCCCAAAACACCCCAAGGCCCTGAGAGAGTCCTGAGTTAGGAACAGCCTCCGCAGAGCCAGGTCTGGTTTAAATCCCGCTTCCTGGCAAGGTGACCTTGAGCACCCACTTTCACCTCTGGAGCCTCAGTTTCCACATCTGTAAGATGGGGATAACAGCTGGCAGCACCTTCCTCATTTGGTTGCCAGGGCAATTCACTTAAAGCCTCAAGTCCATGTCCAGTGAATTATTATTGCTGCTCCCCCTGTAGGTCTTCGTTCTCACCCAGCCCCCACTGCACTTTCCGGCTCCTTCTTATCTCTCAGCCCAGTGGAGTTTCAAGGCCAGGCTTTCTGCCCTGGGGTGAGCTGTGTACCCTGGATAAGGAGCACAGTAGCAGGGGATTGGGAACCAGAGGCATCCCGGTGGCCCTGCTAAAGCTGGGCCTCCCCACTAGATCCCTCCAGGCCAGCTCTCCAACATGCAAAAGGTGGTCCTGAGCCTGCTCGTCCTCCTGGCAGGTGAGTGCCCGTTCCTGGACTGCCTTTTCCCTGACCCCCTCAGCTGGGTGGTGACGACGCTTGCGTGTGGCTCTCTCGTGCTTTCTGCCTCCCCTGTGGGGTGGTGAGTCTCAGGACAGCATCTCCTGGAAAGTGGGAAGTGCCACACTGGTGATTTCAAGGAACACATAAAGGAGGACCTCTTACAGCAGAGGTTCACAGAGCTCGGCATGCATGGTCTTGATGTCTCCTTGGTGATATCAAGAAGGCTCAGCCCTGGGCTACTGTGTCTTTAACACTTCTTAACACTTGATTACGAGAGGTAAGAGTTTCAAGGTTATGTGGCAAGTTACCAAAGCCCCTTGTGCCTCAGTTTCCCCATCTGGACAATAGTAGCACCTACTTACAGAGTCACTGTGAGGATTAAACGAGTTACTATTTGCAAAGCACTTAGAAGAGTGCCTGGGACAGAGTAAGCACCATGTGTCTGTGCTTTAAATATAATTTAAAAATATGAACCTCCCTTTAACAAAGAAAGAACAGAGCTTAGGCCTGGAGCTAAGGCAGCCCACTGCTTCTAGCCAGAATTCAATTCTAGTCCTTTGCTTTCATTGTATCTTTTTTTTTTTTTTTTTTTTTTTTTTTCGG